GCTAACCCATCCCCCCACCCCCCTCCCCTCCAGAATCCTCAGTTTGTTTTTCAGAGTCCGTAGTCTCTCATGGTTCATCTTAACATGCAAATTTTATTTTTTATTTATTTATTTATTTTAAAGATTTTATTTATTTATCAGAGAGAGAGAGACAGAGGCAGGCAGAGGGAGAGGCAGGCTCCTCGCTGAGCAAGGAGCCCGATGTGGGACTCGATCCCAGGACCCTGGGATCATGACCTGAGCCGTAGGCAGACGCTTAACCGACTGAGCCACCCAGGCGTCCCTTAACATGCAAATTTTAAATGTACAGTTTGATAAGTTAGACATATGTGTACACTTATGAAACAGTCCCCATAATCAAGATAATGACCATATATGTCACTCCCCAAAGCTTCCTCCTGCCCTTTGTAATCCCTGCCTCTTGGCCCTCCTTATCCCCAAGCAAACATTCATCTGCTGTCTGTCACTGTAGGTCAGTTTGCAGATTGCTTAAATGCTTAAGTATCATCTTGGATCTGTTCTGTAGTTTCTTTAAATGTATGACTTCAGGAGTAGGTGACACTCACCAAAGTTCCAAACATACATATCATGCCCTTATCTAATATTTTATCTGAACAGGAACCTCTTCTATTCATTTTTCTGAAGCACCCTTAAGAAGGGGTTCAGCAGCAGAATATCAAGATTTTAATGACTCATTATTGTTCTCTTTTTGAGTGTTACCACATTACTTTGCCAGTAAATACACTTTTATGTCATTGTTTTAAATAGCTGCATAGTTTTCTCTCCTCTTATTAGGTATACCTTGATTTTCTGAGATAATTTCTCCCTGTTAAACATTTAAATTGTTGCTAGTTTTTTGATAGTCATACAAGAAATATTTATCAAACTCTTACTGTCTGTCAGGTACTGTTCAAGAAATTGACTTGAGTAAGATAAGGACCCTGTCTTGAGGAATTTTCATGGCAGAGGAAGACAGAGAATGAATGAACAAACCAACAAATGAGGCTGTTACAGATTTTTAATTGGCACCAAAAAGGCAATAAATAGGGGAGATGTGATAGGGCCAGGGGCTTTGTGGAGAAGCTGTGTGCTGCTTTAGATAGACATGTTAGACTTCTCTGAAGAGGTAGCATGAGAAATGAGATCTCCAGAATATTGTTGGAAGGGGTCATGACAAGAGCAAAGGCTCTGACATGGTTATGTTTTCTTAATAGAGTAGCAAGTAGATGTTTGTAGCAGCAATGTCCACAATAGCCAAACTGTGGAAAGAGCCAAGGTGTCCATTGACAGATGAATGGATAAAGAAGATGTAGTATATATATACAATGGAATATTATGCAGCCATCAAAAGGAATGACATCTTGCCATTTGCAACTACGTGGATGGAACTGGAGGGTGTTACGCTGAGTGAAATAACTCTATCACAGAAAGACATGTATCATATGACCTCACTGATAAGAGGAATTCTTAATCTCAGGAAACCAACTGAGGGTTGCTGGAGTGGGGGTGGGTTGGGAGGGATTGGGTGGCTGGGTGATAGACATTGGGGAGGGTATGTGCTATGGTGAGCGCTGTGAATTGTGCAAGACTGTTGAATCACAGATCTGTACCTCTGAAACAAATAATGCAATATATGTTAAGAAAAAAAAAAGATAGCAGGAGGGGAAGAATGAAGGGGGGTAAATCGGAGGGGGGAAAAATAGAGTAGCAAGTAATTAAAGACAAACTTTTTTTAAAAACTTTTTTTTTTTTAATAGAGGGGGAAAGGGGCATTGGGGAAGGAGCAGAGGGAGAGAGAGAGAATATTAAGCAGGCTCAATGCCCAGCGCTAAGCTGGACGGGGGCTCAATCTCACGACCCTGAGATCATGACCTGAGCTTAACCAACTAAGCTACCCACGTGCTCCAGAACCATTCTTAAAATTAATCTTGTTAAAAGAAAATTGAAGAAAGGGAACCTCTGTGATATTTCCAAATTTACATTAAATTGCTTTGTGAAGAGGGATACGTTTCAGAACTAGAATGAATGAGTGAATGGAGAGAATATATCAGTTGAGTGGATCAAGTTCCCTGGGCAACTATAATAAAATGCAACTAATGAAAAAAATAATTAAAGGAGTTGTTATATAAGATAATGGCTAAAAAGTTAGAGGTCTTTAGGAAACAGAAAAGCTGAGACAACTTATCCATTCATTTTACAAATATCGAGCATCTGCTATGTGTTAGGCGATGTTGTAGGTACTAAGGACACAGGAGTAAATAAACCAGATAAAAGACCCTCCCCTAATGGGACTTCCATGAGACAGATAGAACAAATATAAAATAATAGATAATATAACAAATATTTTGAGGAAAGTGAAAGCAGAATTTTATATAATCTCTATATTTTAGTAGTTCTAAAGTGATTTCGAACATGTTATCTTAGTACTTACAACATTATTCTGTAATATGTCTAATACTAAAAAGGGAAAAATAATCATCTAATGTGCTTACATAGTTCAGTCTTATTTGTGTATTTCCAAATTGTGTGCAGGAGGTGATCTCATCCACTCTTGTGATTTTAGCTGGCATCTGTTTTTAGTTGATACTTAGAACTACCCTTTCACGAAGAGTCTTGTTTCCTACCATTTTTATATGTCTGGAAGGCAATTTAAGTTTAAATATAGAAGAAAGATTACTCATCCCACCCGCACCCCCAACCTGTCTCTTTATTCCATCATCATGGTTTTCTGTTATATCGTGTATGTCCTAGATTCTATGCTCTGTAATGATCTGTTCAGTACCTTAGTTCCAAGGTTGTGACTGAAGGCAGAGATGTATATAATGCATAGAGTTGTTGATTTTGAGTGTAGAATTAATGAACATGAGATGCTTTTCTCTAAAAAATATAGGATAAATTTAAGATAACTAAGTATAGGATAAAGATAATTGGGTTGCTAATAAAAGTTTGCAATTTAACTATAAGATAAAAGTTTTATCTTGGTTATTTTTTCTGTGACTTGACAATCTTTATTGGTTTGAACTTCTAATGTAAATGTGTATTAAAATTTCAATCACATAATGTATTAAGTCTAAATAAATAAGGACTAAGAGATGTTCTATAGCTCTGGCATAATGCAATTTAAAGATTTATTTCTTTAGGACTTTTAAGAAATTTTGTGAGATTAGAGTGAGTTTTTATTTCAGTTCATAATACTTATTTGTTAAGTGAATTAATTTTTTTTGTGGCTTTTCTATTTGGAGGGTCTTTTATTTTTTATTTTTATTTTTTATTTTTTTTAAAGATTTTATTTATTTATTTGAGAGAATGAGAGAGAGAGCACATGAGAGGGGGGAAGGTCAGAGGGAGAAGCAGACTCCCTGCTAAGCAGGGAGCCCGATGCGGGACTCAATCCTGGGACTCCAGGATCATGACCTGAGCTGAAGGCAGTCGCTTAACCAACTGAGCCACCCAGGCACACTATTTGGAGGGTCTTTTAAACCTTTCTCATATTTTCAGGTGAAGATTTGAGTTTTTAAAGTGTTAATTTTAGGGGCGCCTGGGTGGCTCAGTCGTTAAGCATCTGCCTTCGGCTCAGGTCATGATCTCAGGCTCCGGGAATCGAGCCCTGCATCAGGCTCCCTGCTCAGCGGGAGGCCTTCTCCCTCTCCCACTTCCCCTGTTTGTGTTCTCTCTCTTTCTCAAATAAATAAATAAAATCTTTAAAAAAAGGGAAAAAATGTGATTAATCACACAAAAAATAAGATGTTAATTTTATGTTCTTGATATAAAGAGTTTGTGGTATAGTATACATAATGATTTATTGGGAAATAGAAAAGTTAATATTTATAGAACTTCCAGAATTTTAAGTGACTTTATCTTTTTTTCCAGGTTTGTTAAAGTTTTGCACTGTAGGGTTTTGTGGAATTGGGAGCCTAATTGATTTCATTCTTATTTCAATGCAGGTAAGTTAGTTTCAGTCCGGAAAATGGACCATTCAAATTTGAGTTCTGTGATCTTTTCCTGGTATATTTTAAATATATTAGAAAGCACACTTTATCTCTTAACTCAGGCAAAAGACCCTGCGGGCAGAGTATCCCCCAATGGGAACTGAAACTACCCCCTCAAGCAATAAGGATTGGCCCAAGCCAGCGAGACCCCACGTGACCGACCCCCAAGAAAGTGATCAACCTGACCTTTGCTGCCCCTGCTGCACGTACCCACCGACCTTTGTCCCTCATTTTCCTGATAAAAACCTGGAAGTATTTTCAGCACTTTGGAGACAGTCTTTGAGACGCTAGTCCCACTGTCTTCCCAGTGTTGGCCTCATTGAAATAAATTCCTTTCTTGTTTCAAAAAAAATAAAAATGAAAGTAAAAAATTAAAAATAAAATATTTTAGAAAGCAGTTAGGAATACTTTTTCAGTTTTTTTTTAGATACTGCATCTAAGGGATCATAGCCATGTTTCCTTAAGTAACATTTCCCAACCTATGTTCTACCAGTTAGTAGTTCTAAAAGACTACTATCTTTTCATTAAAAAAAAAAAAAAAAGGATTCATGCTCAAATATGATTGTAAATGGTAGAAACTGAAATCCAGCTATCTTAAGCCAGAAAGAAAAAAGGAATGTCTGGGCGTTCTGTAGAAAATCTGGGAGTGGGGCTGGCCTCGGGCACAACCAAATCCACATAAGCAAATGATGTGTTCAGGAACTCTCCTGATACCTCTCTCTGCTTCTTTATGTTAACCTCATCTTTTCCTGCTGCGATAGTGTGGAGGCAGGCGTAGTGTGTGAAATGCTATCCTTTAGCATTTAAAGGTGCCACCAGATGTTTTACATTAAATTACACTGAACTGATTGTGGTTAACTTATGAGGATTCTTAAATTAGAGAAGGAGATGAATTTATCACAACAAATGTCACAAAACAGCATTTCAGTAAGCATTTATGGAGCACCTCATGTCATCAGCAAGAGTGTCAGTATGTATGTAGATCATCATCAGTTTTGGTCTTCTTTCTCATACAATATTTCCACTCCTCAATTCTGTCTGCTTGATGTTAATCCTTATGTTTTAAAAGAAAGTCAAAATCCAGGAGATTTTGGTAGCATACTGTGAGGAGGGTACCATACTGTGAGGAGGAGGCAGCATATGGACCAATAAGATACCAGAATTAAACAAGGAAAATATTTGGTTTTAAAGTTGGAATTTTCCTGTCTTTATTCATAAACATATGCCTAACCAAATATCCTGCCTTCTCTGACTGGGGGACAGGCAAGCAGGCATGAAGAGGCTAAGGTACTTGTGCACATATGCTTAGAAATGGATTTCTCACTTTAAATGAGGATCCAAGGAATTTCATGTATTATTGGGATTCTTTAAAATATCCAGAATTCAGTATCTTTGAAACCCATTTACTTAATATTTTCACACTAGGTTCTTTCTTTGGTGATGTCATTGCTTTATATAAAGCTTTACTTATATCAAATTATAAAGCTTATTTGATTCAGCGGTTGCTTATTGGTACACAAACGCCTGAACTTTTGAGAGCAAATCGTTCTTTAAGATCTCCAACTGAACCTATTGCATTAAGAAATACTGAGGCAGAATTAGAGTGTTTGAATTTCTGCAGCACATCTCCCTAAGACATTTTAAAAGGTATGGCCACATTAGCTTTAGACTGCCCTCAGATTGGGGAAAAAATAAGTTTTTAAATGTAGCCAAATAAAAGCGGTAGCCTTATTCTACATGTCACGTAATATACTTAACATGTGATGTTGACTGCTTTAGTTTTTAAGAATTATTTTTTCAACAAATAAAATGTTTTTAATATAAATATCATAAGCTATGTTAATGTTTTTGTCCCAAATATATTTTTTCCAATGTCTCATAGACCTTTTACATTTGTCCGTCATCTTTTTGTTTATTCTTCTTTCTCATTCTCTCCGTCCTGTTTTTTTTTTTTTCTTTTTGCCATTAAATATTGTTCCCCAGTGAATCGCAATGTTTTTCTATTGGGCTATGATCCCAGAAACATATTGTGCATGAACTCAAGACCTATAAAAACATACTTTGCTTCACAGTGTTTATAACAAAAATCCAGGAAAATCCTCCTTAAAAAAAATAGGTCTAGTTATTTCTTCTTTGAACCAAAGTAATATAAAGCATAATGCACATATTACTAAAGTAACCTTTACATGTCACTATATTTACTGAAAATACTTTAATGAGTATCTATTTGTTAATAAACTTTTGAAGTTTCTTCTTTTTTTGTTCTTAAAAAGTATGAACATGGCAGTGTGAATTAATAGTATAAAATAATACATAGAATTAATTCAGCCCTTTTGTGCATTCAACAAAAATCTAAATCAGTGATATATTTGTAACATAGTCTTTCAATTATAGGTAACTGTTGTGTATAATTACTGTATGTATAATTATTCATAAGGCAGTTCTGAAGATTTTAAGACATTCTTTGTGCTTATATATTTATATATATGTTATGATGGATTGATTAGACATTTAATTTTTTTATCAGAAAAAATATGAGAATATTTTGATTTCATTTAAATTTTTTTCACTCACACAATCTGGATGTTTTTAATTGTACCAAAACCATTGATGTGGAGTCTGCAAAAAAAGGGAAAAGAAAGTTTCCTTTGTTAAGTGGAGATAAGATAGCCACAAATCGGAAAGATGAAGATGGGTAGAGGGAAAATGGAAATACGAAATGGAGTGTAGAAGGCTGTAGGAAGGAAGTCAGGGTACTCGGTGACAATTTTAAAAAATTCTATGCATCATGGAAGAAATTGCTTTCATTTTTATTCCTGTTAACATTACAGAGTAGATCTCCTTAGGGGACTAATAACTATATGAGCAGTAGAAATTCACAGAAGCAGCATAATTTCAAGACATTACGAATTTTATAAATTTGTAAAATTTATAAAATATCTCATTAGTTTGGTATTTAATATAGATAATCCACTTTAGCACTGAATTATATAGTGTTTCTGTGTTATTTTTTAACTTTTAGACATGAGGTTTTACTTTTCACACATAAATTTTTTTTTTTTTAAAGGTTTTTTTATTTACTTGACACACAGAGAGAGATAGCGAGAGAGAGAGAGGGAGAGAGCACAAGCAGGGGGAGCGACAGGCAGAGGGAGAAGCAGGCTTCCCGCATGAGCAGGAAGCCCGATGTGGGGCTCGATCCCAGGACCCCGGGATCATGACCCGGGCTGAAGGCAGCGGTCTAACCAACTGAGCCACCCAGGCGCCCCTCACACATAAATTTCTTTAGGAAAAAAAGTTTTTTTACTATAGCACTGGTAGTATGCTAAACATAGCATATACTATCGAAAATTTTGGCTGATTTGAACTGAATGCAGTATACCTTGTGAAAAGTGTAGCTTTGTACCAGTTACAGGGAAGATGAGAAGCTAAAAAAGGTAGTTTTAAAAAGTGCTTGCTTTTTCTTTAGGACCTTGAAGTGTTAAATTTCTTAGTGTCACTTGAGAAGTAATGAATAAAATAAAAGTTGATATGATAAACTATAAATAGTAGGTTTTATGCCATCAATGAAAATGGGTTTAGTGAGCACCAATCAGGTATAATTAGTTGAGGTTCTGCCCTAGAGAAACTTATAATCTATCCCAAAAGTGTTCTGATAATAAGATTCCATTTATTATCAGAAATAAAATGTTTCCTTGGGAACTGCAGGCTTAAAATAAAAATGAGCTGATTTTATCTTGTTTAAATTCTTTGAATTTTACTAAAAATTTTAAAAGACTAGGCTTTTCAGTTTAGAGCATGAGCAAGGCTCAAGTTGTAGGTTCACTTCTGTGTTCGCCAGTTTTGTCCAAGACATAGCCTACTCCCTTGCCCTGTGACATATGTATACTGTTGATCAAGGAAGAACTAAATCTGTAATCACCCTAAATCTGTTACCAGTACTGGAAAAGTTGATCAAAGTCCTTGATAGTTCACTAGATGTAGGACAGCAATATATAAAAACCAGTAGACATTTTATAGATATCAAGTCTTTCAAATTGCCTGCTCTATTATTTATTTAACCCTGGTGTGATTTGTTGGGGAAATAAACTGGAAAACTGAGGAGACTGATAATTTGTGTAGCCTCTGCTCTGTCCTGTGACCTTAATCAGGCAGATTTCACTTAGTTCACTTTTCCTGTGGGCAGGTATTTGTTCAGTGAATTAAAGGAATGTTCAAAAAACAAAGAGTATCTTTTTTTTTTTTTTAAAGATTTTATTTATTTATTTGACAGAGAAAGACAGTGAGAGAGGGAACACAAGCAGAGGGAGTGGGAGAGGGAGAAGCAGGCTTCCCGCAGAGCAGGGAGCCCGATGCGGGGCTCTATCCCAGGACCCTGGGATCATGACCTGAGCCGAAGGCAGACATTTAACGACTGAGCCACCCAGGCGCCCCAACAAAGAATATCTTAAACTGGTTTTGAGATTAATCCCAAAGTTGTGTTTTCTTCAGGAGATATAATGTATGAATCTTATTCATTTCTTGAGGAATGATGTTTATATTGGTTATTTAGGATTCCTACTAACCAGTCTTTACATCAAATGAAGTCAGGGGGTCTGCATGCATAACTTCTGGCACTTTGTAGGAATTTTGGCGTTTTATTTATTTATTTTTATTTATTTATTTTTTAAAGATTTTATTTATTTGAGAGAGAGAGAATGAGAGATAGCATGAGAGGAAAGAGGGTCAGAGGGAGAAGCAGATTCCCTGCTGAGCAGGGAGCCCGATGTGGGACTCGATCCTGGGACTCCAGGATCATGACCCGAGCCGAAGGCAGTCGCTTAACCAACTGAGCCACCCAGGCGCCCTGGCGTTTAATTTAAATGTGACTAATCAGATGGTTTTAATAGCCTCACATTAAAATTAACCACACGGAAGTCAGCTATGAACACAAAAATGTAATTTGACTTTTAAAA